TTTCAGTTTGATCCCCATATTGCAATATTCAATTTATCTTATAAATTAAATTAAATGTAAAATTTCAAACAGGTGGCAACTCTAAAAAAATATTTCTGGCTGTAAGCCTTCTTCATTCTCTTTCTTTTGACGCCCATATTGCAATATTCATTTTTTCTTATCAATTTACTTAAACTCCAATTTTCAAACAGGTGGCAACTCTCTAATTTTTTTTCTTCCTAAATTTTAATTTAGACCTCTAGCAATACATCGGTGAAAACTGCATTCAAATCCATGCATTCGTTTTCGAGTGATGCGCGAACAAACATACAGACAGACAGACAGACAGACAGACAGACAGACAAACATTCTAAAAATGGTTGATTTGGGTTCTGGTGCTCTAAAAAAGACCCTCCACATTAATTTTTCTTTAATATCTATAATGTACAGACATTGACCTGTTACAATTTTATTATATGTATAGATATTTATATATCTATACTTCTATACTATTATATAAAATTGTTTGTAACAACTTATTTCTCAAAGTACTAAACCGATTTTAATAATTATTATTATTTTTTAAATGAAGCATTTATAAAAAGAAACAAAGTGGCATACATATATTTTTTATTCTTGGAAGATAAGCACCCTTTTTTTGGGTGTAAAGCAGAGGCGGGCATTTTTGATTTTCCAAACACATGTAATTGGGCTTCAAAATGCTGCTTGCTGCGACGTCGACACATGTATACTATCATCGTCTTCGTGCGTCTTACGATAATTGACGATTGACTGATGCTTCGCTGGTATTTCGGCAAAGCAAATCAAATCAGTTGCTGTTGAGAGTGTTCGGATGCACAAAGTTTTCTTAGTGGTAAATAAGCATGAAAAATTGTAGTACATTCCAAAACAATGTGGTAGATTCAAATAATTAAATTTATAAATTTGTTATATGCACTTATGGTCAGCTGATTAAGTTAAGTAACATTTAGACCAGTTTTGGCTAATTACATTTTTTGTTTATTTATTTTTATCTTTTTTTTGCTGACGGTGCAAGGCATTTTCTTCCATATAAAAGAAATTGCCAATCATTAAAAACCAACACGATTTCTTAGCGCTTGAAATTTGCACTTTGAGCTACTAAATTTTAATGGGCTATAAAACCGCATACCTAAAACTTTTCTAGAAATTTTAAATAAAAAGTCAAAGCGACAGAATAAGATGCCTTTTTTTAGAAAAGATCTATCATTTCACCAACCCTAAATTTAATAAAGAACGCTGGTTTTAATTCTAATAGCTTCTTCGATCACCCTCTTTCACCTTTTCAAAATGACTATGACACAGTTTGTAGTGTCTTGTTAAACAAGACATAACATTGCGACTCATAACGCGAAAGCAAGTCACGCATTGCCCACACCAATCCATGTTTTCTATGCAAAAAAAAATGTATTTCCCATTCCTCCCGAAACATTTTATGTGTGCCTTATTCGAATAGTTGCGCAGTGAAGTCTCAGCAGCAACTGATTGGATTTGCTTTGCCGAAGTGCTAGCAACAGTGTTGCCGTTTTAGTTGTTTGGTGGCTAGATTTAGCTACCACACACTTTTTTTGGCCACAGCCCTTTTTTTGGACCTTTGGAGAATTTATTCATCCTCGGCAAGAAAAAGTTGTATATGCTTAATTTGATCTCATTTTTGTTTCATTTATGTAAGAGATGAATTTTAAAACTAAGAAAGACTGACATATATACATATTTATTTATTTATTTATTTATTTATTTGGTCTACAGAAAAATGTTTTCTTACAGACAAATGAGAATAGATATTTAAGTATTTGTAATATATTACAGAATAGAATAATTATACATAATAATTTATAATAATAATAATAATAACATAAAACAGTAGGTTTGGAAGCTGCCGAGGCCTAGTCTTTAGTCTACTTTTGTGTGAGGCGGGCGGAAAGACCTAGTTTCCTCTCCGCGCTGCGGACAGGCTGTTGATCAAGGTCGGTAAGACCGGGTTTCCGATCCATGTTCTCGAAGACATTACTTTGTATGTGTGGCAGGCGGAAAGCTCTGGTTTCCGGTCCGCTCTATGAACAAGCTGTTTTAACTTGAACTTTTCGTTTAGAAACTTTAACTCCTTACCCAACTCCTGGAAGCCACTTCTGGCGCTCCTAAAGATTTTACCAAGCTCAACTTCGGTTGATCTGCACTTGGGGCAAGACCAACGAACACCTTTGTTATCAGTTATGATATCGGCCACCCTACCATTGAGACCAGCACATTTTACGTGAGCTAATCACACAACCAACACGCAACGCTCTAAGTCGTTCTTATACCAGAGCGCACTTGTGCACAAGGGTATTATATCTTTGTTCACATAACGGTTCCGTCCGTCTGTGCACACGATAACTCGAGTAAAAATTGCGATATCGTAACGAAACTTGGTATGTGCACTTCTCTCGGGTGTAGGACGGATGGTGTTGAAAATGGGAAAAATCGGACAATAACCACGCCTACCTCCCATATTACGGTAATTTTCCGAAATTCGAAAACTGCGATATTTTAGTAACTACTGAAGATTATTCACTCAAAATTGATATTTACAATAAGTCTTAGACGAAAAATAAGAATATTATAAACTTTTGGAAAATGGGCGTAGCCACGCCCACTTATGGTTACATGTGTATATCTTGGTAACCGCTGCACCAATTTCTTCCAAACTTGGCACAGTTGTTAACCTTGGTATAACATACGAAATGGCCGAAAATCTTTAAAATCGGACAATAACCACGCCAACATCCCATATAGCGACAATTTAGAGAAATAAGAAATCTTCGATAAATCAGTAATTATTGAAGCTAATTTATTCAAAATTGATGCTTGCAACAATTCTTTACTAAGAAATACGTTTGGGATAAAATTTTGAAAAATGGGCGTGGCAGCGCCTACTTACGATCACATATATGTATCTCGGTAACCATTCTACCAATTTGTACCAAACTCGGTGTGGTTATTGTGCTTGCCACATAGAAGCAAAACGTTGAAAATTATTGAAATCGAACTAAAATTACGGCCGCTTTTCATATAACAGTAAATTTCAGAAATGCTTGAAACTTCAATATTTCGAAATTTAAGGACGCTAATTTACTCAAAATGGATACACCCCGTACCATGTAGCAATAGCTTTCGGAAAGGTGAAAATCATATATTTAATACTTGCGCCGGGTATTTAATGTTCGGCTCCGCCCGAAC